TACCAAACGTGATATCCTTCTCCAGCAACTGTTCCCTCCTGACAATATGTCCAAAGTATGAGAGATGAAGTTTGGCCATCTTGGCCTCCAAGGAGTACTCTGGCTGCACTTTTTCCAAAATGGATCTATTGGTTCTTTTGGCAGCCCATGGCACTTTAAATATTCTCCTTCAACACCACAACTCAAAAGCATCAGTTCTCCTACAGTCTTCCTTATTCATTGTCTAGCTTTCCCATGCATATGAGGTTATTGAAAATACTATGGCTTGGGTCAGGTGCACCTTAGTCCTCAAGCTGACATCCTTGCTCTTCAACACTTTAAAAGGGTCTTGTGCAGCAAATTTACCTAATGTAATATGTCATTTGATTTCTTCACTGCTGCATCTGTGAGTGTTGATCCAAGAAGAATGAAGTTCTTGACAACTTTAATCTTTTCTCCGTTGATAAGAACATTGGTTATTGGTCTAGTGGTGAGGATTTTTGTTTTCTTTACATTGAGATGTAATCCATACCGAAGGCTGTGCTCTTGGATCTTTGTCAGTAAATGTTTTAAGTCCTCTTCACTTTCAGCAAGTAAGGTTGTATCATCTGCATGTGTCTAACTAGTTTATAGTATAATTATAGCTAGAATATACAATTCTTGGTTTCAAAAGTGATTTATTTACTAGAATGCTGATTATGTGCTTAGATTTTAATATACCATATGTTAATTTGTGAAATTTGAAGCTAATTATATGCAGATAGTATTCATTTTAAGATGGCATTCTCCTTTGAGCTTGATGTATGATTGTGATATGATAATGTATTTTTTCAGATTGTATGAAATATATTTAATTATTAATTTTTTTCCAAATTGCTATAGATAGTCCTATGCTTTTTCTACATTGTTAAAATTGCATAGTTTGGAAATGTGCATTTTTTAATTTCTAGAAAACCTGAATTAGTTGAAATTTGAAAGTAGTAGTCAATAAGTGCTTTACATTGCTCCTTTTCTCAATTAAAAAAAAATTAACTCAGAAAAGTAACAGAGACTAATAATGAATCTGAACATTTTTGCCATAGCCAAATGTTTGAATTGAAAATGTCTAGATAAATAAAGCCTTTTCTTGTAACTGTGAGGGAGCCCTTGGTGGCTCAGTAGTTAAGCACTCTGCTGCTAACTGGAGAAAGATGTGGTAGTTGCTCATATAAAGATTACATCCTTGGGAACCCTATGGAGAAGTTTGACTTTGCCTTATAGGGTTGCTGTAAGTCTAAATTGTTATTCCAACCCTGTGCATATTCATAGTCTACCTCTATTTCATTGAGCTTATGTATACTTCCCAAAGTCTTTCCCTATCCTCCCTGCTACTCTAGCCCCCACCCCCTTCTAGTGTATTGCCCTCCTCCTCCTATTTATTGCGCGACCTGACCCCCCCCCCCCCGAGTTATCATACATCTGCTGACTTGTGAGTTATTGTCCCTTCCCTCCTGCCCCTGGTGGTGGTGGTTATGTGCCATGGAGTTGGTTCCAACTCATAGTGACTCTGTACAGCTTTTCTGAGGCTGTAAATCTTTACGGGAGCAGAAAGTCTCATCTTTCTCCCGTGGAACAGCTGGTAGTTTCGAACTGCTGACCTTGTGGTTGCAGTCCGATTGTAACCTCTACGCTACCAGAGCTCCTTTCCCGCCCCTGGTAACCTTCAAATAATTATTCCTTTAATATGGAAGTCTTTTCTTAAGTGTTCACAATAATGGACTTAATGCAATATTTGTCCTTTTGTGTCTAATTTCACTCAGCATTATGTCCTTATAGCTCATCCATGTTATGCTGTGTTTCGCAGCTTCATCGTTATTCTTCAAGGTAACATAATATTACATTGTGTTGTGTATGTATCCATTCTATTGTTGATGGGCACTTGGGTTGTCTCCAGTGAATAGTGCTGCGATGAATATTGGTGTGCTTATATGTACTTGCGTTCGGACTCTATTTCTTGTGGATATATACTAAGTAGAGGAATGCTGGATCATAAGGTGTTTCTGTTTTCAGCTTTCTGAGGAAGTGCCATACCATTTTCCAGGGTGGTTGAACCAATTTGCAGTCCCACCAGCAATGTAGTAAGGTCCCAGTCTCTCCACACCCTTGCCAGCATTTGTTTTCCTCTGCTTTTTGAACTTTGCTGTTAATGCTCCTGTGAGATGATATCTCATTGTTGTTTTGTCTCTTCCTTATTTGACAGACTACTCATCTGGTACTTAGGAAGAGATGATTTAAATGATTTGCATCTCTGGTAGCGTAGTGGTTATGAATAGGGCTGTGAATCTTAAGGTCAGCAGTTCGAAGCTACCAGTTGTTCCACGGGAGAAAGATGAGGCTTTCTGCTCCTGTAAAGATTTCCAGCCTCAGAAACCTTGTACGGGGTTGCTGTGAGTTGTAACCGACTCTACAGCACATAACCACTACTGATGGCTAATGATCATGAACATTTTGTTCATAAGTTTGTTTTCTGCCTGAATGCCTTCTTTGGTGAAGGGTCTGTTCATGTCCTGTGCCTATTTTTTTTAATAGGGTTATTTGTCTTTTTCTTGTTAGATGTGTTGTAGTTTCCTATAAATTTTAGAGATTAGTCCCTTGTCTGATGTGTTGTTGTAAATTCAATAGGAGAATGAATAAATAAACTGTGAAATAGTAATAAGAAAACTACTGCACAAACAAAACAGGAGAGAACAAAATAGATGACTGGGACATAACTAAAAATTAGAAATTTATGTGCATCAAGAGATTTTATCAAAGGGTGAAAAAGGAGCCCACAGACTGAGAAAAAATCTTTTGCAACAACACATCCAGCCACTCCGCGGGAGAAAGATGAGGTTTTCTACTCCCATAAAGATTTACACCCTCGGAAACCTGTACACGGTCGCTATGGGTAGGAACCGACTCGACGGCACTTAACAACAACAACAACCTATTGAATGAATAAATTCACACCTCTTTTTTCAAACTTGAAAGTTCTGATTGTAAAACAGTTGTAAATCACATACAAATTACAAACTTTTTCCTTTCAATTTTGCAGATTAAAAGAGAAATGTTTGGTTTTAAATCATCTCTTCCTAAGCACCAGATGAGTAGTTTGTCAAACAGGGAAGATGATTGCATTGGATGCTGTGAAGCAAATAAAATGATAATCTCAGAATTGAGGTACAGTTTTCATATTCTGAAATCACAAAAAAATTTTAATGTTTTTATTACAATTAAGTTAAAATATTTAATTGAGAAATTGAAAAATATGAAGAGAAGTACAAAGAATATGATAAAAGATATCTAAGTAACAAATAAAATTATTAACTTTTTGTGATTTTTGTTTCAAATATGTTTCTTGAAATAAAAAATAAAACATTACAGGATGAATGATTACCCTTTGATCATTAATTTTCATTCCATTCTCCTGCAATCATGAATTAGGTATATAATTTTTCACAGTATTTTGTGTATGTTTATACTTACATGTACAAATAAATGAATATACATTTATATTATTGGCAGTTTTGCTCTTCAGCCAGCACCATTTTTTTTAAACATTCATCCATGTTGAGAGAGTTAATTAGAGTGATTGGTACATGAATGTATTGGTATGGTTAGTTTCATTATAATAGCTGTATAGGAGTCTGTCCTATACCTATAACACAATTTATCCATTTCTTTTCTGATACTTAGCTTATTTATAGTTTTGTTTTCTAATATAAACAGTGTTGTAAAGAACATTAATGCATGTCACCCTGTACATATGGCTAAGAGTTTCTCTGGTATATATTCCTAAAAGTGGAGGTGCACATATTCACTTTCAGTATGTACTATCAAGCTTCTAAAGTAGCTGAGTCAGTTTACAGTCCAACCAGTTGTATATAATAGTTTCTAAATCTTTTCTAATAGTTGACTAATATCCACCTTTATAATTTTGGCTAACTTGGAAGGAGAAAAAATGATTTGGGGTATTTTTATAGTTTTCCTAGTAATATTTGCCTTCTTTACTTTTATGCCAGGATTAAGCTTGCAATAAAAGAGGCAGAAATTCAGAAGCATCAAGCAAACCTGACTGCTAATCAGTTATCTCAGAGTCTTATTTCTTGCAATGACAACCAAGAAAATGGCAAATTAAGTAGTTTAGAAACAGAACCTGTAAAACTAGGCAGTAATCAAGTAGGTGAGTATATTATATTGAATTGTTTTAATAAATTATAATCAGAATTCTTTATACTTTATTTTTGAGAAGGCAATCATATTTGGTAATCTGTTTCTTTGTAAATTACTAGTTATGATCTGACATTGTGAGGTGCTGACTCATGTGACCTTACGCACAACAGAACGAAACACTTCTGGGTCCTGTGCCATCCTCACCATTTTTGTTACACTTGAGCCCATTGCTGCTGCCATTGTGGCAGTCCTTCTCATTGGGGGTCTTCCTCTTTTTCACTAACCCACCACTTCATCAAGCTTGATGTGCTTCACCAGACTGGTCCCTCCTGATAATATGTCCAAAGTATGAGAGATGAAATCTCACCGTCCTGGCTTCTAAGGAGCATTCTAGTTGTACTTCTTCCAAGATATATTTGTTTGTTCTTCTGGCAGTCCATACTATTTCCAGTATCCTTCTCGAACACCATATCTCAAATGCATCAGTTCTTCTCTGATCTGATAATACAGAGCAAGTTATTAGAAATTCTTTGAATTTTTGCTCATTTAAAAAAATGTACTTTATTGGGGTATAGTTTACATGCAGTAAAATATACTACATTATCATTTTTTATTTAAACAGTTGTAAAGAAATTTAAAAATTTGTGTACATATTTATCATTTCCAGTTTTTTTATTCCTTGGTATAGATTTAAGTTTTTATCTAATGTCATTATTTTGTACCTGAATATATAGCAAAAGTTTACTAGCAATGAATTCTTCCAGCTTTTTTTGTTTGATTAAATACTGTTTCCCCCCTTCATTTTGAAAGTTGTTTTCTTCTTGCTTGTGTGGTATTCTGCAGTAAAGTCTGAGGTATTATTTTTTTATCTTTATTTCCCCTATTTGTAATGCGATTATTTTCTCTTATTGGTCTTAAGATATTCCTTAATCACAGGTTTTTATATACCTTGATTATGATGTACCTTGTATGTGTCCTATTAGGAATTCATTGAACTTCTTCGATATGTGAATTATTGTTTTCATCAAGCTATTTAGCATACAAGTATGTGCTTCCCATGGGGAAAGGGACGTAAAAGGGGGCTACAAAAAGTGGCATTGAAAAATAAGAGAATTTTTCCACAAACTTTTGAAGCTCTCTTATATTTTACCACAAATTACTGTTGCTCTGTTTTTGTTTTCTTACTCTTGCTCTCTCTATGCTTAATTTTTTAATAAAATTGTGTTATATATGAGGGGTTTCAAAAAAGTTCGTGGAAGAATGCAGTTGAAAGATAATGGAATTTTCTCATGAGCCTTTTGAAAGCCCCCTGGCATATATGTAACAAAACATTTACCATTTCAACAAAAACATTTACCATTTCAACAATCTTCACTTGTACAGTTTGGTGATATTAATTATGTTCATCATGTTATCCAACCATCACCTGTATCCATTTTCAAATAACACCATCGCCCTATGATTAGTTATTAATAGTTTCTATTGCCACATCTTTCAAGTTCAGTTTTTTTCTTTCTACTGATCTTTCAATCTCATCCAGTAAAAGTGTCGATTTAGCTTTGTATTATCGATACCTCTAGAAGTTCAGTTTTTCTTTTTTTATATTTGGTATTTTTCTTCTGGTTATGCTAATTTTATCTTTAAAACTTGGAGTATATTTGTTATAATTAATAATAACTTTTTAATAGCCCCATCTACTGATTTTATCATTGCTATTATTTCTAGGTCTATTTTTATTCATTGATTTCTTTTCCTAGTTAAGGAGTGCTGAAATTTGTTCTGGTGGGCAGTTATGTGTGGGTCTGTTTTATGTTTTGGATACGTAAAAAACTTTTTTTTTCTAAGTGTGGGTCTACAGTAGCCTTTCCTGTAGGACTGGTTTAAAACTACTCTTAGGGAGTAGCATTCTACGGTCTCTATGAATTTCGATGTATTAAACCAAGTTTTGGCTATTTAGGTTGGTGGAAATTCAGATCATTTGTGACTTAAGCTGGTGACATTTCTGGGAACTGTTTGACTTAGTGCTCCTAGGCAATTGTTCTTTCCTTGAAAGTTGGTCATTTCCCAACCTCATATATTATCCCAAAATGTACAGACATTCGTTTTCAGCCACAGACTCAAGGAGACCCCTATACAGATTTCTGTAGCTCTTGTTCTATGTAGCTTCCTCCTCTTTAGAACTTGAGCTCACAAAATTTTATCTGCTTTGGCCTGTGTGAATTCTAGTATCATGTGTCTTCAACTCAGTGAAATCTCCAGTTTGTTTGGGTTCCCCTTCTGTGTAATGCAGTGTTGAAATTGATGCTAGGCAGTTAGCTTGGACAATTTAGGGTTCACTTTGGTAGACGTAAGTGCATTTTCTTAAAAATCATTGTTTTAGAGATCCCTCTTATATACAGTACTTTGAAGTAGCTTGTGAACTTCACTAAGGCAGGAACTTTTGTCCTTTTTGTTTACTGCTATATTTCAATTCTGGTATGGCAAAGTAGGTAGGAGAAATACTGGACTAATAATAGGTAGGCTAGCTACAAGGCTAAGGAGCTATTAAGGTTACGAGTCAGGCTGCTAACCTCAAAGTCAGCAGTCTGAAACCATCAACTGTTCCATGGGAGAAAGATGAGGCTTTCTGCTCCTGTAAAGACTTACAGACTTAGAGACCATACACAGGGTCACTTTGAATTAAGACTGACTTCACACAACCACCACCAACCACAATAACCACAAGGTTGATAGTTAAAACCCACCATCCAGCCCTTGTTGTTGTTGTTGTCAGGTGCCATCGAGTCGGAACCGACTCATAGCGACCCCATGCACAGCAGAACGAAACAATGCCCGATCCTGGGCCAACCTCACCAACGCTGCCACCCCCGAGTCCATCAATGATGCCACCTGGCCGAACCATCTCGTTGGAGGTCTTCCTCTTTTTCTCTGAC